CGCGCTCCCACTCACGCGTCTGCTGTCGCGCTCCGGGCCGGGGTGACTTGGCCCTTCTTGGGCAGCGCGGTCTGGCGACCCAGCTGCCCGCTGTGCGCCTTTCCCTTAGGTGGGGCACGAACGTAAGGTCCAGCTGGTCACCGACAGGGATCACTTCATCCGAACCCTCAGCCTCAAGCCGCTGCTCTTCGGTAAGTCCGCCAGATACTCCTGGGAAGGGCCAGGGTCTGCGGTTTGGTGGCCACCTTGAGGCTCATTGTGACCACGTGACCTCTATTTTGAAAATGGCTGCTTCAAAGCAGCCCTTCCAGAGGATTACCAAAGTGAAGGACCTTCCCCGTCCTCGCAATAGGGTAACACTCTCTCTTATCCCTACTCCCTGCAGTCCATTATTCCATCATAGGGCTGGCAGAGTGAGCCTGAGGCTGGTGTCTAAACATTTCATTGCAGCTGTCTTCCGTGCCACCATTAATTGTCACCTTCTAGAACCAGGGGGAAGGTGGGAGACTGATAACCAGCTTTCTGCCGACCTCAGGACCTCTGGGGAAAATCCCACTGCCCAAGTGGGCCTTGTGGTCTGATGAGAAGCAGGCTGTCCAAATGTAGATAAACTGGTGCCCCCCGCCAGCCTCCTCCACCGGAGCACCAGTCAGAGGCTCAGCTTTTGCTGCCAGCGCTCTGAGATTCTTCTTACCGTGAAGTCTTTGTTCAGCCATCATGGGCAAAGCCTTCTAGGGTGACTTCACTTGGAGCCACAACATAGCTCATTGTTTCTGAGCTCGTTATGTGCTTGCCTTCGTATGATTATTTCATTTAATTCCTGCAACCCCTCTGTGATGTGGGTGTAGATCCTACCCTCAGACCAGTGGGGGAGAAAGTTAGGCACAGAGAGCTGCTGTGGCTTGGCCAGGCTGACACGGTTACTTTAGTGGTGAAGCTAGGATTAGAACCCACATAGCCTGCCTCTAAGGCCTGCGCAGCAAAGCCACAGTGAGAGCTGTGAAGACCCCAGAGTCCTTCAAAGGCCACCAGTGTCAACAAGATGGAGACCCCTAGTCCCATGGACCTTGTCCAGGGTGTTTGTACAGCCCAGCCCTGGGTACCTGGCCTCCGTGACAAACATATTTGCAAACCCAGGGCCATTCCTGACTGCGGGGGGATGGAATGGGTTAGGAGCTGGGGCCAAAGTAGAACATTTGAGCACATGTCATTACCTCCAAGCAGAGAGTCCTGGTTGGGGATTATGCCTAGACCTGTCAGAATGATGTCATATGCATGCTGTTTATAGGGAAATAGATTATGCTGTCAGTCCTGTTGTGGGAGGGGCATCCAAAGGTGGTGGTTGTTATTACTGTTACTATTGAATAAAGTTGAAATCTGTGCCAGGCACTATTTTAGGTGCTGGGAACACAGCATTGAACTAAATATAAACAATGAAACAAAACCCTGAAGCTGACATTCAAATGAAGAGGAAACAGACAAAAAAATATATACATTGGTGTTTCAGATGGTGATATGTGATTGCAAACAAGTAAGGGAGATTTTTTTTCTTTTTTCTTTTTTGCCAACATAAAATACCTGACAGGGCTGGGCATGGTGACTCATGCCTATAATCCCAGCACTTTGGGAGGCTGAGGCAGGCGGATCACTTCAGGTCAGGAATTCAAGGCCAGCCTGACCAACATGGTGAAACCTCATCTCTACTAAAAATACAAAAATTAGCCGGGTGTCGTGGCGGACACCTGTATCCCAGCTGTTCGGGAGGCTGACGCATGAGAATTACTTGAACCCAGGAGGCAGAGGTTGCAGTGAGTCAA